TTACACACTGCTGAGAATTCTTCTTGAGCTTAGGCACTAGCAAATAATGAAGAAAGTATTTTAATTGGTGAAAATAAACATATGTATCGAACTCGGAATATGCATAATCAATTTATAGAAATAAAAATATTGCATAGAACAGTAAATAATAAACATTTTATTATGCCAATGGCAGGCATGTGTTCTCATGCACAGAAATATTGTAAAAGCAGTGATTCGTATACAACAGACCTCTCTTTTCGCTGTAAAGACCATTCAGTACACAGCAGAACAGATATTTTTAACACCATGAGGTTCAGTGGATCATTGAGGGGCATTCACGTAGCTTCGTCGTCGTTTTGCGGCCTTGTTGAGAGCGTCTAGGGAAGACGTAGCTATACAGACAATAAAGTGAAATTTATGCAGTTCCCTTGGTAAATTTCTGATTATGTATTATTGGCGATCGGTACGAGAACGACACTTTGCCAAAATTATAAATACCAACGGTAAATATGCAACATTGCCTAAATCGAGAAAGCTAGCGTGCTCCCACCACTTTCAAGAAGATAATGTTCCTTGTGCCGCTCCGCGACACGCACATATACGCACGCCTGTGAGCACTGTAGGCCAGGTGAAGCTGCTGCGTGCAGAACCAAATTGAAACTGAGAATACTCATAGGCAGTTTTCTAATGCAATTCGATCGCAACTGTGTACTCCCCATCATTCCCACAATAGTTGAACGATCGCACCACCCAAATTTCTTCAAGGTTATAGTACAAATTTGTATGAGCTTCAGCAAGCGACAGGAGTAAGCACTCCGTACATATGATTAACCAGCAAAAGCCGAAAAGTGTGGTCCCGGTGTTCAGCTGTGGGTTGAACCTGACACTGCACTAAAGGCTTTTGCAATTATTGGTTACATGATGTTGCTTCTTATGAGGTTAGAAGCATGTTTGGCTAGGTCTACTACAGTGTTTATTTCGCATGGTTCACATTGTGCCTCACATGATGACAGTCACGGAAGAGTGTAATTAGTAGTTAAATACTTTCAGATTGCATTGCGTTAATCACATTGGTTGTTCTCGAACCTCAGGTGGTGTGGAGGTGTGGAGAGTTATATTTATTTATTGTAGTAAGCACTATCTTTCGCATATCATGGTATCCTTTAAACGACATTGTTTTCTCTACTGCTTCTGTATGAGTCTTTCATAACTTCCATATACAGATAAATATATCTGCAGGTTTGTATGCTTTATTCTTTTGGCATTTACTCATGGAAATAAATAAGTGCATAACTGAAAAAAAAAAATGAATGGACCCAGTACCATTTTGTCATAACTTTCATATACAGATAAATATATCTGCAGGTTTGTACACTTTATTCTTTTGGCATTTACTCATGAAAATAAATAAGTGCATAACTGAAAAAAACAAACAAACCAAGTACCATTGTGTCTGATTCTTTGAGCAAACGAAATCGTCATATAGGTGTTGTGATGCAGCTCTCTGCCCCCGCCCCCCCCCCCCCTCTCCAAAAAAAAAAAAGAAAAACTGATGCCTCCCTGAAGTCAATTGAGCAATGTATGCAGATTATGCATGAAGAGTCGGTAATATGATTTGATATATATATATATATATATATATATATATATATATATATATATATAAATAAATAAACACAGGTTCGGTTCCTGCTCACCGCAAGTTATCTTTTCACCCACTTTTCTTTTTTCACATTTACATTACAATTGGCTCTAATAACTTCCCCTATACATTCCTTGGCAGTATTGTCTGTTAGGTATCATTAATACTGTGTCAAAACACTGAAAAACGAGCCCTTAAGTATACACTACTTTCCTATATATATATTGAGTAAAGACTCTAATAATTGTGTCCTTCATACCATCTTTTATTTGATTTGTCACCACGGTAACCATTGCTTTGGGGTCACTGTGGCATAGAGCAATTGTATGGGCTTGGACATAAGCCACGTTCTTGCTGAAAGTCAGATAAATACATGAGAGAAGACGTGCGAGCGTTACACTTCTTTGAGTGCAGCACTACACGAAATCTCGCGCTACTATTGCGATAGCAATTATATGGACACTCTCAGCTGGATTTTGCCACCGGCGTCGGCACCGATGTCATGCACTGTATATGTATACCTATCTATATATATGAAAATGCAAGAAAGAAAGAAATTCAGGAAAAAAACAACACTTCGGCACGCAGAATTGAACGTGGGACCTCTGCGTCGTGAAAGGAAGGCGTTAACCACTGAGCCACCCCGGAGCACATCCTTCACCGTTCAAACGGCAAGCTACTTATATCTACCACTCACCGCTGCTCACGAGCATCTCGAGGGAATTGTGTTTTCAGAATTACCAGCAAGATGGCACAATGAGCGCGCGGCGGTGCCTGCTCTAATCTCCTACGCGTACTTTGCCTAGATTAGAGAAGGGAAGCGACACTCTCTCACGCGCCCTTATCTCGCGGCAGCGAGGAGGGGAAAGTCGGACGCCTTGGCTGGCCTCGGGCTTTACCTGGAACGATTCTGCTGTAGTTACCGGGTGCACAAAGGTCACTGTAATCATTGCAGTCTCTGTTTGCGAAAAGCGCACACTTTTCAGACACAGCAAAGTAACAAATGAGACGTTTATTCGCGAGCATCCGTGCCGGTCAGTATGTTTTGTGCGTTATTTGTGTGTAAGGAACGCGGGGCATGTTTCGATCTGCTTTCCATTCTGTGTGTGACCTTTCAATTTGTTCTTATCGCGTTCATTGCTTCGCCTTTCTGGCAAAGCTGTGACATTTGTTCATCCGTCACCGGGCAGCTATATGCGACGCTATCAGTTCTTTGGACAAAATACGTTCAGTTATAGCGACTTCCCGTCACCTTAGCGCCCGGTCACATGCTGTGCTACAAGCCGGCGCTCTTTCCTAGCACCTTATTTTTCAGTACTGGGTATGTGCACGCTAGTCATGTCGAAAGGTATTCACGACTGCTCATAACGCCACTAGGACGATATTGACGTTATACGAAACTAAGGCATAGACATTGGTGAGGTCAATCCACTCTTCCCGATGCGGCAGTGCATGCTCCCTTCCCTAGCAGAAAGCTCACATGGTGCTTCTTTATATTGGAGGCTTCTATCCTGGCGATGGCGGTTTTCCCTGCCCTTACCAAATTCCTGCCAAAAAGGGCAAGGGGCATCACAGAAAAATTAAGGTGGCTTCCACCATCATATTTCAGAGCCACGGAACACCACCGGAGTGCTGCGCTGAACCGAAGAGGACTTTAGCAATACAGAGCTTTGCTCAAGGAGACAGTCCATATTTCCATGGTATTGTCTTCTTCTCACTGTGGAGTATACCCCCCCCCCCCTTTCGTGCCGTGCCGCCGCCGATCGGATGAGCCCCACGCTGGTCACGTGCCGCCGCTGGAGGTTAAAACACCGACGCGCCGCTGCCGGCAATTTCCGTACTGGTGCACAGGTCTAGTCTCAACTGGTTCAATGGCAAGGAGGTTGTCTATGTGAATGTCAATGAGGGATCCTTTCGGCGAAACCTTTTGGCGAGCATCTTGACGACAACGTTGTAGTTCACTACTGTTAGGCGTACCCCTTTAATGGCCAGCTTAGCAGCACCAGCCTTGTACATGTTTAAGTACTTGAACTTTTCGATACCAGTGAGGTCAAGGTGTGTGTGGATGGTCACCTCGTAGTGCTCCCAGAACTCTTACCAGTCGCGGTTTTTGCCCTCGAAAACTGGCGCTTGAAGGTTTGGCAAGGCTACTTGCAAGCCCTGTGCTCGTGGTCTTTTGTGATCAGTGAGGTTTTTGGCCAGTGGTGTCCGAGCAGGCAGCTTCCGTGGATTTGCTGTACTTGTAAGCCTCGGCTGGTTGACTTCAATGCCTGTAGAACCAACCGGTGCATGCGCATTCATTACGGATCAAGACCTGCTGATGACTTTCACGATTTTGTCATAGTAATCCAGAGCACCCATAACTTTTTCGTCAAACACCTCACTATCGAGAGCATCAGTGATGTGTTTGTCAAGTTCAGCAAGAGCTGAATTCTTGTCGTGAAGCCTGTCAATGAGTTCCTGCAAGTTCGGGGAAGACAGTAAAGTGCCAAGCAAGAGGATCTCACTGGCCTAGAACAGGAGTCTGGTGGTGGCACTGCAAAGAATGCTTTGATATTTTTCTAACTTGTCCATCCTGGGAATGTATCAGTGCAGAGGATGTCTGCCTTCTCGCGAGTTTTCGGCATCAGTAATGTAGAGAAAGACAAACACTTGCTTTGCTTTGGTTGAACATTTCCTTTTTTGTTCTATTGTGTGGTCATGAGCAGCCCCACCTTACGGCCCCTTCTTCGTGCATCTTCTGTGCAGTGAGGCATTTCCCGCCAATGTCTTCCCACAGGAGACTTAACAGCATGTGTAGAACAGCAAAGGGTGCAAAAGAGAGAGTTGTGAGGGTAAAAATCCAGCTAAGCCAAGACCAGCTGGGTGCCTGCCAGCTCTGCTGTGACCTAGCTTTATGCGACTTAGGGCAAACTGTGCTATTGTGCTTGTCCCAGCATGTGTTGTCTATTTCAAGGCAGGCAGGCCAGCAGGCATGCAAGCATGCATGCTTGGTTGGCTATCCTACGCTAGAGGAATAGAAAAGGGCAGTATAAAGATGAGGGAGAGATTAGAGGGAGAAGGGAAAGAGACAAAATGGTCAGTAAATGGGCTGATGCATACGCAGCAGTGATCTCAATGGTAAAAATGGACATAAAAAGGGTAGGGTTATATAAAAAGTTCTTGATGTACTCGGCAATAAATACTGGAAGTTACAAATGTAGTCTGCTTTTTGTGTGTGCATGGTTCTTCCGTTTGGTCGGTGTATTTTGTGAGCAATGCTAAATCTCATGGTGAGGTCAACTTTCATATTACCAAACCAGTTTTCAGAATTGCCAAGGCTCATACAAGCAAGGTTTTTCTGTGCAAATGTCATATAGTGTTTCATTTGTTTCAGGAACTTCTGAGCTTGCTCTATGAAGCCGAAGTAGCAATCGCACGGTGTGTGAGCCTCCGGAAGAAATTTAACCTTGACCACGGCACTGCAGACCCTTCAGCCACATCATCTGGCAGTGGTGGTTCACACCGTCATGCTTCAAGTGTTTCTGCACAACTAGGAGGTGCAAGAAACCAGACTGCAATTGATGTGAATAAGTTCGTGCTGGACCTTGTTGACAATCCAGAGGTCTCAATACCAGGTGCAGGGAAAGGCTCCGTTGGGAAGCTAGTTTCTCAGCTTTTCGTTGACTCTATGAAGGTAAGTTTCACGTTTCTATGTCCTTAGATTTTTTTCTGTAACTTTCAATTCAAGTGTTGGTTTATTTTTCTCTAGCAGGCAGGCATTGCCTCGTAATCTGCCTCACATTTATTTTATGGAGAATGGCATGTTTATAGGCCATTAATCAAAGACCTGCTCAAAGGACAGTGCAGAAGAAGAAACTACTGAGGAGCAATACTATAATATAAGCCCTATTAGCATATTATGCTTCCACAATATCAAAATGACTACTCTTACAGTGAGAAGAGGTTTAGCAGGTCAGAAATGACACAAAAAAGATTGGTGGCAGTACTGTTCTAAACCTAGTGCTCTAGCCTGCCTTGACACCTTGGGCTTTATAGAGTTTCTGTATATGCCATAAGGTTAGCTTATAACAATAGCTCTAAATTTTTGACTGTGTTACCTACTTGGGTATAGTTATTTGCGTTTAGATATAATTTATTTCTTATATATGTGTACAAAAGGGCTGTGTTACGTTATTTTCTAAAAAGTTTTCTAGCATTTTCAATAGCTCTTCTTTTGCAAGACCTCCAGAATATAAAACCATGCATTGAAGTTTATGATGTCACTTTTGCTATTACTAGTGTCAACGTATTAAGAAGGAATTCAAAATGAGGAAGCTTCGTAGTAACTTTCTCTACAACTAATCAATCTATTATGGTGAATGAGTAAATACAGCGAAACCTCGTTTAACCGTATTTGGCCGGAGCTCGCAAAAAGTACGTACTGAACAGTAGTACTGCTTAACAGAAATAGCATCAGGTCGCTCACTTACCTTTCAAAAAAAGAAACCTTCAGGGAGTGCGATGAAAGAACAAAAAACGTGCAGTAATTTATTAACTTCGCGTGACAAAGTCTGTAATCTTCATTTCACGACGTGGCGGCCTAGCAGCAACGACAGCGGCCTCAAACTCACTTATGCTGTGAGCCAGCTTTTCTGCCAGCCCCCTTTTCTCGGCAAATACCCGCATGACGCTGACGAAATGCGCAGCTTCGGCCACTGTCCGACCTGAATCACCCGTGTTGTCGCTTTCCGTGTCGTCCTCATCAGTATCATTTGGTGACACTTCGATAACCGAGGCAACAATGGCTTCGTTGGACATGTCCGGAGATGTCTGCACATCGCTGTCTGCGTCTCTGAAGTCGGGGAAGGAAATGCCTTCCGTAACTCCTCAAAGAGTTTTGCCGTCATCCATGCTTTGGTGTTGCTGCGATGGATGACCCCTAATGGCAACCGGGCACCTTTGAGACATCTAGGCTTCGCCGACTTTGCAATCACGAGGAGCGCAGTTTTGTCGGTTCTAGTCATGTTTACGCAAAACGCCACTGATATTCTGTCTTTTGCATGCTTGCCGCCTTTGAACGCGAGCATTACGCCTCTTGCCTTTGAATGCGAGCGTTTCGTCTGGTAGCAGCTTAAAAAATACCGCCGATTCATCCATATTAAAGATGTCATCAGGTGCGTAGTCTTCCAAGATGTTCTTCAGCTGACCATTTTGCCACTGCTCCGTGCCATCCACGTCAGCAGCAGCACCTTCTCCCGAAACAGTTCTCGTGGTAATGCCATGCCTCGCCTTAAATCTGGCCAGCCAGCCATTGCTGCACACGAAGTTCTCATGATTGAGCTGCGAGTCAAAAACCAGGGCCTTCTCCACGAGCAGGGGTCCGCTGATAGGCAGATTTTTTGACCGTGCAGCTTTTAGCCACTTCACCAGCGCCTCCTCTACATTCGAAAATGCCGAACCGCATAGCCGGCATCTTTTCGCAGTTGCAGCAGCACTGCTGAGCAACTTCTCTCTGGAATTCCAAATTCCACACACCGTGGTTAACGGCAGGTCTATTTCGCGTGCCAGTGCCGATTTTTTCGTGCCACTTTCAATAGCACAAATTATGTCCAATTTCTCATCTATTTTCAGCACTCTATGCTTTTGTCCCAGCTTTGGCATGACGCAAGTCAGAAGCAGCACAAGCACACATACACAACACGTGAAAAACGACGCGAGAGCTGTACGGCACGGATCAACCAGAGAACACCTATGCACGGCGCCAAAGGAACAAAGAAAGCAAAGCAAGCGCACACCATGTTTGGATGGATGGATGGATGGATGGATGGATGGATGGATGGACGGACGGACGGACGGACGGACGGACGGACGGACGGACGGACGGACGGGCGGACGGACGGGCGGGCGGACGGGCGGGCGGGCGGGGCGGGGCGGGGCGGGGCAGGGCGGGGCGGGGCGGGGCGGGGCGGGGCAGGGCGGGGCGGGGCGGGGCGGGGCGGGGATGGACGGACGGGCGGGGCGGGGCGGGGCGGGCGGGGGACGGACGGACGGACGGACGGACGGACGTGGCTGTGCCCTTTAGATCGGGCGGCGGCTAACGCCACCTAGCCGTAATACTTAGTGAACTCACCACTAGATTTATCTTTTTTTTTCCTTTAAATAGTGAGGTTGAGGATTCGTACTTTGCAGTGAAGGGTTTAATTTTCACACGTGCCTTGACTTTAGCCACCAATCAGATAACCTCCTTCTAGTTAATTCTACCCGCTTAAAATCTATTTTGCCCTCCCTGTCCCTAAACGCCAGTGCTTTGAAAAACTCTGCGCCATCATCCTGAACTATAGGGTGAAGTCCTTTACAGAACATTATCAAGTGTTCAGCAGTTTCTTCTTCCTATCCACACGCACTGCATACTGTGTCTACCCCTTCGTATTTGGCCCGATATGTCTTGGTTCGATATGTCCTGGCCTCAAAAAGTAGAGAACTACCCCGAGTATTATCATAGATCCTTCCTTGGTGATTTCCTGCTTAAAAGTTCGATAGATCTCTAGTGCTGACTTCTTAGTCATGCCGATTCTCCACATGTCAATCTTCATTTCCTTCACTTTCTTTTTAACTGATAGTTCTTTTTGGTTTGGCCACCTGCTGTTTTCTAAGTATTTAGAATCAATTTCCTGGTTCGCTTCCTCCATTTTGTACCGACATTCTTCATGTACATGTAGCTGAAAACAATCCTAGCCCTAGTGTAACATCATACCTATTGTAATTCAGCAGTGCCCTATTTTTCATCACTGCTGCATTCCTGTTACCTTTAGTCGTCACGTATATTTCGTGTTCCCTTAGGTACTCGGTCCTATTGCTTATCCATACGCCCACATATTTGTATTTATCTGTTATCTCTAGCATGACCTTCTGTATTCTAAGCTCACTACCTTCGTTATCATTAAACATCATAACTGCTGATTTTTCCTTACTGAATCTAAAATCTAACCTATCTCCCTCATTACCACAGATGTCCATCAATCTCTGCAAGTCTTCCTTGTTGTCAGCCATTAGCACTATATCATCTGCGTACATTAATGCCGGTAGTGCCTGATCAATGAGTTTTCTTTGTTTGACTAAAGAGAGGTTGAAGCCAAGTCCACTTCCCTCTAATTTGGCCTCTAATCCTTGTAGGTACTTCATGAATCACAAGGGTGACAGAGGAAATCTCTGCAAGTCTTCCTTGTTGTCGGCCATTAGCACTATATTATCTGCGTACATTAATGCCGGTAGTGCCTGATCAATGAGTTTTCTTTTTTTGACTAAAGAGAGGTTGAAGCCAAGTCCACTTCCCTCTAATTTGGCCTCTAATCCTTGTAGGTACTTCATGAATCACAAGGGTGACAGAGGACACCCCTGCCTAAGTCCCCATTTCACCTCTGTGGGCTTGGATACCTGTTTTTCCCACTTTATAACTACCTTTGTTTTGCGTGTTTGTGCAAAGCGCCATCGCGTAGACAACACCAGAAGCCTAGCCGGCCAAGTGCTTCTTGTTGCAGAAAAATCCAAGAGATGGCGCTCATCAACAGAGCCACCATCATCATCAGCATAAACAAGCGAGGCGTGTTTCGATCTCTGGGGCTTGCTGTTCTGTTGGGACGCCCAGTGGGGGACGACATGCCGCGGCGAGTGCGCAACGAAAATTGGAAAAACTACTTGTTAACCGATACATAAGCGATACGTTGGTACGGCTTATGTGGATACAAAATGCATTATGTTCAATGGCCGCCGAGTCGGAGACTTGACTTCACTACTTTTAAAACGAAACTACTGTTTACGCGGGTACGGTTTAACGAGGTTTCACTGTATAAAGCTTTGAAAAAATACAATTGTCTCTTCAATGGTGATTGTAGAGCTAGTGCAGAATGTAGACAGCACCATGCATAGTGTTGCTACATCTCATCTGCACACAATACTAGAACAAATTATATGCAATTAGTAAATACAGAAATGAGTAGTGCCATGTGAATTCATTTTCACACCGTGCGGCCATTGACACATGCGTCAAACTGTTCTGTTTTGACATAAGTTCATGGCTTGATTAGTTTTTGCATAAAAATATATTACTGTCTTGTATTCAGATGTAGTTGTAAGGATAAAATGCTCCAAACCATTCTTACCAGCATGCTGCAAGGTGTCGGGAAAGGATTGTGGCCTTGAAGGCACCCTAGACAGGCGTGGACCACATGCAGTTGACAGGCGAGTGTCTGCATGGGTGACAGGCATTCTAAAACTATGAAATCTCCCTCTGTGCTTTTGCACACGCACTTTAATGTCACCACTTATCCTTACCCTCAAGCACCCCTAGCCTCTACAGGTCTTCACAAAAGTGCAACACAGTATGTCCGAGCCCCGTGTCACAGTGGCATTGTTTTTTTATTACTGTTTTATTATTCTTATTGCTCAGAGTAAGTAGACATTCAGCTACAGCAACCTCGCATGCAAGGCTGTATAGAGTTCCTTGATGCTTGATGCTGTTGTGTTGGCTTGTGCGAATATTCGAATGCTTCGATTCGAATTCAAATTATCGAATATTTTCAAAGTATTAGCAATGAATGAATAGATGTACATTAGTCTGCATGTCATTGCCTGTAAAAATTGTTTCACTACAGTGTAGGAGTGCTGAGTTGTGAAAGCACTTATCAAAGAGAAATT